GTTTTCACATTGCCTTCTCTCTGCATTATATGTTATCGCCGAGAGAATAGCGGACATTCTCTTGGCACTACGGAGGTAATGGAGCCTTCATATATGGAAGCATGCGACCTCTAAAATATTCCGCTTTAACAAAGTTGCTTTTTTTTTTATTTAATGAATCTTTTTTTTTTGCTTCCGTGATGATGTTAAATAAGAGCGTCCGAGATATATAATGTGCATTCACCTTAAAACTAAACTATTAAAACGCATCGACAGTTTTGTTTCGCTACTTCACATTCCATTCACTAGTAATCAACCGTTGTTAATTAATGAAGTAAACATTCTAAAGGCGCCAAAAGAAACTATTTTGTCTAGCCACACTGTATAATGCATCAGCAACGAGTACAGGGTATGAAATATGTAAAAGAAAGACAAGTAGAACTCTTAAATTTATTTTATCAAGAAAAGTTACTTCAGCTGCAACTTGCAATATTTTCTAACTAATAAGAGCTATGCATTCTAGAGAGTACTATTAAATCAGGAATATGATTGTGTTTTTCTTACATGCAGTACATTTTTTTTAGTTTCAATAAATACCTTTGGACATGCACAAAGGCCAAAAAAAAACATTTGAAAAAGAGCCGTGCTTAATTTGTCGACTCCCAGCCAATGTCCGCGTGATCTAGTGGCGATTAAATGCCGCCAGTCTTGCAATGTGCCGGATGTGTGCGATTATCCTTACAATGCCAGGGACACCGCACGTGTCACCGCATCGACTAAACACGAGGCCCAACCGAAATATTTGGCGATTTATATGTTAGAACCGAGCTCAAGTGGAGAGCTCACGCAGTGCTCGTGTCAAATTCATGAGCAAGATTCGCCCATCATCACATTTGATTGACTGACATGACTACGTCAGAAGCAATCCGAAAAGAGGGAATTAAATAAAATGCTCTTTTCATCTAATATTCTGGCCTTGTAACATAAAGTGTGCTCTGTAATACTGCAAAATGTTTTATTTCCAGTGAATGTCATTTTTTTTTACTCCTTACTATAAACCGACACGCGGGCTTGACGTCACGGAGCTGCGGCGGCGCTGCGATCGCGCCGGAGCCGGGGGGTTTGGGCAAAAGCGCGCACGTTTCGCATTGGCGTCATAGCATTTCAGCATGCCGCGAAGCTGTGTTGCCGTTAATTGCGCCAAAATGTACAAGAAAAGCAGCAGAGTGAGTTTCCACAAGTTCCCGGCAAACTCTGAAAGGCATAGAAGGTGGATAATATCCGTGGATCGAAAAGTATGGTCGCCTCACGCGAACGACCATTTGTGCGGCAAACACTTTCTTGAAGGCAAGTGCGGCTTCCATTTAAATCTCCGTCCCGATGCGTGCTTATGTGCAGGGAAACCGTTGTCTGATCGAGACCACCCGGATTTTATTCCCATGGTGTTCGCGCACAAAGCACCGGCCAAGCGCTCGTCGGAGGCTCGTTACGCCCGTGCTACCCAGCCGAAGGGGATCGGCGACAGAACGGCAGTGTTGTTGGGTTTACCGAAAAAAAGTAACGAAATACGTTACTGGTTACTTGAATATAAATTGTACGCGTTACTAACCTACGTTACCTAAAAATAAAAAGAACGCGTTACCGCTACCGATAAAAAGTAACGCACGTTACTTCTGCGTTACTTTTTTATATTATGATTTAACAAATTTTACGGTTTTGACGATACAGGTCATATATCAAGACACATTATTTTCACGCAGAAACTGAACATAATTACTTTATCTCTTTTTACGGTTTCACCTAAATACTCATGAGAAAAAACGCAAAGAAAAGCATGGCTTGACGCCTAAAACACGGAACACATTGAAGTGTAATTTCTTTAAGACTTGGGAAGTAGTATCGAGTAACGTAACTACGTTACTTGAAATAGTAACGTAAGTACGTTACCCGTTACTGTGTCGAAAACGAGTAGGTTACTACGTTACTGAAAAAAGTAACGCGTTACCAACAACGCCGTTACTTGTAACCTGTTACCGCCAAGTCTGCAGAACAGACAAGGCCTTGTCGTGCCTTGTGGCCATGAGGGTAGGAAAAATATCATACCTCGACTTGAAGACACTGTGTGCATTTAATCAATTAATAAATACACTTCCGCAGAACCACAGTCTTCTGATCCTGCCGGCAGTGCGGAAACCGACTCGAAGTAATCGTAGGCCTCGAGAGACTTGTACGCCTGCACCGTGTCGGCCGTGAACTGGCTTGGCGAAAAAACTAAATAAACGACGACGTGAGCCGTCGACTTCGGTGGCAGCAACTTTACGTCAGAAGTCCAGCAGGCCTTTTTTACGGAGCACGGATCCTCGTAGGCAACGCCGTCCACGCACAGTTTGTTTCGGTACTGCTGCCATTCAGGCTCGAGCAGTGAGCTCAAATAGTCGGGCATAGCATACGACATACGTTGTGAGGAAATACGACGCACAAATAAAGATACAAGCGTCCCTACAACGTCAACTACGAGCGCACGCCATAGAACGCAATGGCGAAAACTCGGAGAGCCGGGCTGCTTTTGCCCGGCTCTACACAAAATTGTTTTGACTTTTAAGTTAAGGTGAAACGTGATCGATAGGACTGTTTAGACTGAATGGCATTAGACGCTTCTATCGGTGGTGTCTTGAAAATCCCTAACAGCATGGCGCTTTTAACAATAGTGCACTCAGAAAGTGGCTGTGAAAAGCTTTCCCGGGAACATCTTCTAGGGAGACTATTGAAATGCTCTCACGCAAAACGATTCACAAAACACGTCTCAAAAAAAAAAAAAGAAAAATCCATGACGCAAAGCGTTGGGTCCACGAAATTCAAAAGTTAGTTGCCGTATTCATCGGTCTCTATTTTAATTCTAGTTGTAAAGTGCCGAAGGGCAATTTTTTTGTTATTCTCGGTTCTAATAAAGTTGACTGAAAAAAATAAGTGTATTTTTAGTACTACGCTAAATAACATCCGTTGATTTACGCCTCTTTTATACTGGAATTTTACTTCCATTTTTTTCACTGTGTCTCTGCGGTCGAGATACCAGAGCTCAAGCCCCGTATTCAGAATGTAACACCAACTTTTGTAGTCAGCTTTCCTCCTTGGCAACAGACTCACCCTCAAAGATGTTTTATCCTTTTGTTCACTAGATCGTTAGGGTATATCACCAGACCACATTATTTTCCGTGGTGTACCACGTAATGCTCGAATTCGTCAGACACGGCTGGCATGAATCTTCATTCTTGAGCGTAACTCCAAGCGGAGATGGTCGGCACGCCACAACATTATGCCGATGCTCGTGTCCTAACTGGTCAAAAACGAGTTTAAGCCGAAATTTGATTCAGCATTGGTGTCCGATCAATCCCCGCCTTTGTATTTTTAGCTGAAGCTGAAGATTCTTCCCACTGGCCGTGTTACCTAGGAGTTGATGACCACGCTTAAAACAAGCGCCGTCTGCCGATAGTATAAAGAAGGCGACAAGAATCTCTTCCCTATTGAGTAGAGGAACCGCCGTATGATGAGGGTGCTCGCGTATTCAGACGCTTTATATATCGAAGGTGCCGGAATGTCTATGATGCATATGCTCGAGAGGTATTTCAATTACAGTAAATATATCACACTAATTCACATATTTTGTTGAGTAATTTTTAATAGTATTCTCTTTAAAGCTTCGTATACAGGACCTTCAACGATTTCAACGAGTGATTTTTCTCGTATTTATTAGGCAGATATTTTTGTGTTTATAATATGGCATTTTATATTCCATTTTAAAAACGCCAAATAATGTGCAGGGCGAATCTCTATAGCATCAAGGGACATTTATTTGCTCGTATGCCTGGGGTAATACATCGGTCCAGAGATTTGGTAAAAAATAGAGGGCGCGAATACTCTTCGAAATAAGGAACAAAGTCTGCGATGGGACACTGAGTATGACTTAAGCACTTAAAACGTCGTTTATAGCGTCAGAATGCAAATTTTACTACTAGTTATAGAAATAATTTTGGCCTCGCGAGTTCACTCAGACTCTTTTCCAGATTCCAGTGATTGGAAATCGGAGTGCTCCGCGTGATAGTAAACTTACTGAGATCTTTTAGAGGGTAGGCTTATTAGAGTTAACCTTTTAATGTTATCTTACCCCAATAGAGATTACTGCAACATTTAACGGTGGTCCTCATGTGTTCAACGTCACAAATCTATCCTGTGGCACTGGGTGATTTATATTGCCCTGAATATTTTAATCCTGATCTCACATTGTAGTAGGTGTCTGCGGTATGACGTTCGCTTTAATGAAAACAATATTAAAATATATTTTTGACGGAAGACTGTAATTGCATGAACTCAAACAGACCTATGGTTTGCACAAGATTTGGCGTTTATCACGGACTTTCTGAATAAGGGCTAGAGTTTAGCGTTTAATAAATGTGGTTTAGCGTAATAATTTACTTTCCCAATATAAAATTTGAAAAAAAAAAACCTCAAAATCCAGACAATAAATTAAAAATAAACATCGAAGTAACTAAAATAGAAAGTCCAAATTCTGTATAAAATAACGCGAAGCTCTCGCTCAAAAAAATAGGTGTCCCCGTTTAGACGTGTTCAAGTCGCTAGCACAGAAAAGCGTCCGCACCGTTTGCGAATTATGCCGTCTATTGACGGTGAAAAACACAGCCATCACAATTTCATATAGGGTGCACCGAATACAAAAAAGACAAATTAAAAAATCTCCGGTTGTTGAGACTTGATGTATCCATGGGTGACGTCTCAAGAAGTGGGCAAACCTCCAAATAATGCTTCTAGTTTCGTTTTTTTCGGTTTAAACAAGGTTGAACGTGTCCAAAATATAACAATCATTACTTTTTATAACCGTGTCAATTGACAGATACCTGAGCCTAAGCAATGTTCATAATATATCAAACAGAAAATGCTATGACAGAAAAAAGAAAAAAAGTGTTCTTGAAGTCGGGAATAAACCAGCATATCGTTAAAGAAAGATTGGTTTATTGCGTTATTTTCAAATTTCTTCTATGTACTCCTGTTGGTGGTGAGTGCAGTCCCGGAAGGCCATCGTCCGAAATTGTCAGGTGTTCAGATTCTGCGAATGGAAAGCATAGGGACTTCATTAGTGATCTCTTAGGCCACAGTTATTTCGTAAAACGAAATACAACTTGCCACTCGCCTCGTTCACGACGAAATTCTTTAAAAATCTCAATTATTGATTTCATATGTTTCAAGGACCACTGAAATACTAATTTAATAATTAAAGATGCCAGCTAAAGAGTTTACAATAAATTCACTCTTCGTGGAGCCATAATGTGACAATTCATGAAAAAATTGTTGTATTGAGTACTCACACTTCTTGTAGAAGCCAGCGTAGCCAAGACGGCCAAGTCCATAACCGTAGCCAAGACCATGGCCAAAGAGTCCGTATCCGTAGCCAAGGCTGTGGCCATAGCCGAGACCGTAGCCGTAGCCAAGACCATGGCCGTAGCCAAGACCATGGCCGTAGCCGAGGGTAGAGACAACTGGAGCGTGGTGAACGGTGGAGTAAGACGAGCTTAGTGGAGCAGCCACGGAGTAGCCGCCGTAGCCGAGGTAGCCGGCGAAGGCACAGGTGGCAAGGGCCAGGATGAGGACGCAACGGAACTGCAGAAAGGAAAGGGAGGCAAAATGCTGTTACCAGTCGTTCATTTGTTAGCAATTCAATACAAAACCTACTTGAGCTGGGCCCTTTTAGGTATCACGCACAGTAAAGTTTTTATCAACAGATAAAATGTTTTCCGCTTATAGTAGTCATTGACAGTTGAAAAAATTCAGGGCGTGGCGAGTCCCCATTACCTTATTTTGGCTTCGCAGCCGATTAGACAATGGTATTATTCGATAAGAACACCGAGGAATGAATCATGGAGTACGAAATGTGAAGATAATAGGACACGCCATGAGATTCTTAAGCTATCTGTGACAACACGAACTGATATTCAACGTGTTTCTTTGGTTCGAGTTCTTACGTTGGGATCTCCCTCTACTTCCGATTATGTTATTAATTTACCGCCGATTGGTTTTAAACATAAATGCTCCGTAGTTTGAAGACTTAGCACCAGAAATAACAAAAGTGAGCGTATAAAGCTTCTATAGGGAACGATAAACACATTTCTGTCAAATTTGAGAGTTTATTGCCACAGCCGCTGCTGTGATACGATTTGTTGCACTGTTCATTAAAACTAACCAATTGATTACAAGGAACGAGCAGACCTCAGAGGTTATTACGTCAGGTTAAAAGTTTAGGTTATACCATTCTGAAATCTGGTTGCCCTGTAATATGTGACTGGGCAAGGTGTTCTTGAGGCTCACATTTCGTAAAATAATGGAATTTATTGAATGTGAACGTGATAACCGAGGTAGTATGCCAACGGCGGAATTGTGAACTTCCTCGTAGTAATTTGTTCTAGTAAAATTCATAAACTTAAAGCGGTTTTATTTTTAATTGATATTATTTTATCAAGCGTGCATGTTAACCTCAATATTCATCTTTGCTTTAGGGCGGTAGTTTTTATTACTAATCTTCAATTCAAAACAAAATCTTACCATGTTTGAGAGTGTTATTCTTGCTTCGGTAGCTCGAACTGATGAACGACGCTTCGATTGCACTCTTTATATATGCCGTCTTTGATGGCCAGGAAGGTTGCCTGAGCATCCAACGGGGAAATTTGTTACGCCCTTTTGGGCTTCTCTCCCTGAAAGTATAAAATAATATAAAAAAATGCAAGTGCCGTCTGGACTGTTAAAATATAAGCATGGGTTTCTATTTTTTTTTTTTTACGACTTCGCTTCGGTGATTTAGGCGGGAATTTACTCGCACATTCCGCATATTTTCCGCGGCAGGTCTGGCTTTATTTTTCTGAAAGTATAATTTAGGTGCTAAAGACAGATGTTTTGGGTCGTTCGATGGATTGACATTAAAATGCGATGCATGATACGCGTTTCAACCGAAGGGTTCCCGGATGTTAACTATCTCTTCGATTATGAGAAAATTCTTTAATGATGACACTTTTTTTTAGAACAAGTGTCATTAATTATTGTATTTTTATAATATAAACTGTCACAATCATTTAGCAGAAGTCCGACGGGGAAGAGGGTTTCGAACAATATCTTGCGAGAAAAGAATATTATGTAACAGAAAAAAAAAAATAGTCGGAGTGCACGGGCGCTTGTGCAAGTTCCTTTTGCATCGACTGTACGTTTTTTTTTTTTTTCTTCTTTTAACTTCCAATTTTACGATTTTTTAGAATAATGAATCATGTCATGTTGTCTTCGAGTAATACTAAACCTGTTTACAGAACCTCTTTTGACACATATTAAAAGAGAAACTTAGTTTAAATTGGCCCAAATACATATTTGCATAAGTATTCTATGTGTGCAATGTATTTTTGAAGAGGAATGTTCGATTAAAATAAAAATGACGTAAGATTATTTTTTTTGTCTTCCTATGGTGCATTTGAGAACAAAAGAACAGGACTTTTTATTTGTTCAGTATATAACTTGTTTTATTTATCCTCAGGGCCAACAAACACCGTGTGTTTGATTTTAATGCGACAATAACTAATTTGAAACATGTCGTGTAATGTACACTAATATTGCAGGGGAAAATAATATATGGGGCTTATTGTCACGATAAGAGGGGGGGGGGGGGATAACTAACTAAAGTTTGTTGATTAACACTCTAATGGTTGAAAATAAATATATGGTTGCACCTAGAAACTTGCAAATCCTCATCGAAGGCCACCAAACCTTAAAAAAAATTAGAAATACTTAAAGTGCGTGGGAAGCGCAACGGTGGGCTGAAGTTATAACTCGTGTAACAGGGGCAAGTGCAGCGGTGCGAGACGCAGATGGAAAGACAATCATCCGCGTTTTCGTATCGCCATTCTTGCGCCTGTTGCACGCGTGGTAAATTTAGCACACATTGATGGTGTGCTAAAGTTACCCACGTGCTTTAAATCATTCTGAAATGTACTTATTTAGGGGTTTTCGATGATGCTCAACAATACAGTCACTGGAACCATATGTGCTTAAAACAGTTTATCAACCGGTTTTTGTTAATTATTTGGCGAATTGTGAATATTAGCCCCCATATTATGCCCCCTGGCCATATAACTCAGCTGCAGAAACCGCATCAGTGCCGCATTCATGACCCTTTTTTTTTAATTAAAACAAAAAAAAAAGAAAGAGAATAGGTGTGTCTTACCGTTTGGCAAATGTCTTCAACTAATAAAATACTGTATTACAAATTTCTGGTAGACAGCTGGTGTTTATTATTTTTTCTAGAATAACCGTCATTATATATTATATTTGCCAACGCATGTACACTGATTAGGTTGGAAAAAATAAATAATAAAAGGCTTATATTAATTTTATAAATAAAGCAATAAGCTCGCTTTCTGATTGAGCTCTGAAATAGCCAGCGGGTACTCGAAAGTGTATGGATTTTATAGGTTTTCCAACGTATATTGTTTGTGTCCAAGCTATTGAAAAAATAACAAAATATATACGCGCGCTCATATCTGCGCACAGTGACATAGGTACACACCTACAACAGGAAATATACCAAGAGAGGGGAGGATAGATAAATAAACGCGTACTTCCAACGCTACTCTGACACTTTAGGATCCGCAAAATATAAAAAAAAACAAAAAAAAACCTTAAAATATTTATAGCCAAACGTCGAGAGTAAAATGTAGGTGAAGTAACCGCTGGCGAGCGGAATCGGCTAGGAATTACTACTTGTTTTTTTTTTTTTTTTTCAATTATACGTTTTCATTGAAGCAAGCCACTGAAAACGCCTTAGAATAATTGCATTTCTTGACGTCAGATTCCGCTCGAGTCGGTCGGGTCCCGGGGTTCGCAAGTTGCAAATAAAACCACCTCACTAATCTCGTGCTGTCAGATGAGATGCTCGTCGGAACTAAAAAAATACCTAAATATTTAAGAGTGGCGGCATGTAAACTAAAAGAAAGGAAAGCACACACAGAAACAAGTGGAATGAAATTGGCTCATAACTGACTGATGTCCTTATAAGCACGTTGTCTCCCATTGGCACCCTGTTATCGCTCTGAACTATGTTATCGCCGGGAGAATAGCGGACATTCTTTGGACACTACGGAGCCTTCCATATTTTTGCTACATTCTCCGCAAGAGGAAACATGGTAGAGTAGGTTTTCAAACAACTGAATGAGAGAAACCGTATCCTCCTCACACCACGTTATTTCCGCTTCAGGGCAACGGAAAACTTTCAAGTTCAACGCCCTCGTATTTCGCGATTATTGTAGCAGGCACGGGACTGATAAACTCATGAACGACGCATGCGCGCGGGTATAGGAAGTATTCACTGGACGCCATATTTGGGGGCGATATTAAGAACGCATGCTCAGGACAAGCTCACATCAATTGCCTGCTAAGGCCGGCAAGCTTGATGACGCTGAATGCACGTTGCAAGAGAACTGTGACAGCACGACGTCAGCACGCGCTCATCAGTCGATTAAGGCCGCCAGCGAACCCGGCCTATAGCTTTTTTTTTTTTTTTTTTTTTTACAATGACGCCTTTCTGCTTCCTCAATTATCCGAGTGCGCGATTTTCTGTGCACCACCTCTGATGCATGCAGTAGACACGAGGGTTGCCTTAGTGTTCGGCTTGAATTCCAGCTCCTCTCGTATCAAAAGCGAGTGTTACGTCTGCGTTCGGTGGGGAACCAGATTCAATCTCACGCGTTGCGCCCAAGAAATGGACACCGGCATGTAGCACGACGGTGTTTTGAGAAATTCTCTATTGTCCTTGTGTATGTGAAACTCTGAGAGGCTGTGGCGTAAAGTCCCGTCGTACCCGTTGTAGACCGGAAACGCGCGGGCACGACGGGAGGCAGGAAATGAATAAAGGTAGGTTGATTTTACCTTTTCGATTGGCAGGGAGGCCGTCTCTCCCAAATTAGCCAAGGAGAAAAGGTTAGCTAACATCTATTAGTATATTCGCTTTTTTGTCTTACATGACAGTGTTGCCTTTTCTATGAGACCACAGCACCGGGTTTCGCTTTAAAAAAGTTATAGCCGAAGGGCGACGCCGAAAATGCTCGCAATTTTAAAGGCACCATGGTGACTTTCACATTTAGTAAGTTTAAATTTGCTACTCGGCAATTTAGACGTGTCAGAGCTTTCATATATTGCCTGCAGGCCGCCGCAGACGCAGCGGTCACAGTGGCACCATGTCCACAAAACGGAGAAAATGTGGGTAGGCTGTGAATACGACATAGCCCCAATGCTTAGGGCGCCTGCATGCTAAGCCAAGTGAAATGAAACGCATGTATTAAAAGTAACAAATATATTTTGATGTAACGGAATAAATTTAATACAACACAAGTATGAAATGAAACAATTTGTTTGTTAGTCAAAGAATCAATTGAATGAAACAAATATTCAAACATGAGGCAAATCGATACTACAAGGAACCGAACAAAACGAATGCCGAGACAACACAAGCGTATTCTACCCGAACTCACATGGGCCATCGAAACGAGTTCAGGTTGTAATTAAAATAAGAACACCGACTTGACATAACAGAAAAAACAACTTCATTAGACGTTTCGCCTCCCATGCGAGAGGCATCATGAGTAGTTACACAGCAAATGCAGGGTTCAACCGCAACCCAACGCTATTTATCACGAATGTCCGTGTAAGCTTCGTGAAGAGGGTCGCGGTTTTTGTTGCACACGGATGTGTCCCTGCGAACAAACCACAATTCTAGAAGCTTTCGGTGCCCCCATCTGTCCTCCCTCGCCAAGGTCGTCGCGGCCGGAAAGTCGAAAGAATGCCCCATTGTCCACGCATGGTCCACCAGTTCAGTCTTCAGTCGCGTCGCGTGGGATGCGTACGTGACGTCACGCTTGTGTTTTTTGAGTCTGGTATCTCTCCTCCGTCCGGTTTCACCAATGTAGGACGCTGGGCAGTCGCTGCAGGGGATCTTGTAGATAACGCCTCTTTGGACTTTCGCCGGGGTTGGGTCCTTTGGTTTGGAAACGGAATTTCCAATAGTTCTGTATGGCTTGAAAACAGTTCGGATGCCAAGGGGCCTCAAAGCGCGACTAAGAGGTTCGGAGACTCCTTTGACATTGGGGATGCACACTACATTCTTATCTCTTTCCCTTTCGCACGGTAGCACATTTTGTTTCATTTTGTTTTTGACCTCGTCAACAAAGCTCCTCAGGTAGCGACGTTTCACCAAAGCTCCCTGTAAATGAGTCATCTCATTTGCGCCATGGAGCTCGTTAGATGACACGGTATCTGATCTCTGTACAAACGATCGCACTACTGATTTCTTGTGTTGCACTGGGTGATGGGACAAAAAATCCAAAAAATTATCTGTTTCACATGGCTTGAGGTACACACCCGTTTCAATCCTGTGGTTCGGTTCGCCTGTCCTCATTACAGATACATCTAGGAAGGGCAATTTGCCCTGCTGTTCTGCCTCGCAAGAAAACTGTATCGCGGGGTGAACACTGTTTAACTCCCGGTGAAAATCATTAGCATGACTTTTTTTTTTAAATGACGAAAGTGTCATCCACATATCGGCGGTAAAATTTGACAGGGAACAGAACTTTTGTCAGCACTTTCTCCACGAAGCTTAAGCGGACATTCGTGA